AACTGGATGTGCCGCTTGCCCCTCCCCCCCGCCCCCTCGTGTAACTGGATGTGCCGCTTGCCCCTCCCCCCCCCCCCTCGTGTAACTGGATGTGACGCTTGCCCCTCCCCCCCCCCCCCTCGTGTAACTGGATGTGACGCTTGCCCCTCCCCCCCCCCCCCCCCCCTCGTGTAACTGGATGTGACGCTTGCCCCTCCCCCCCCCCCCCCTCGTGTAACTGGATGTGACGCTTGCCCCTCCCCCCCCCTCGTGTAACTGGGTGTGACGCTTGCCCCTCCCCCCCCCCCTCGTGTAACTGGGTGTGTGACGCTTGCCCCCCCCCCCCCCTCGTGTAACTGGGTGTGACGCTTGCCCCTCCCCCCCTCGTGTAACTGGGTGTGACTCTTGCCCCTCCCCCCCTCGTAGTAACTGGGTGTGACTCTTGCCCCTCCCCCCCTCGTAGTAACTGGGTGTGACTCTTGCCCCTCCCCCCCTCGTAGTAACTGGGTGTGACTCTTGCCCCTCCCCCCCTCGTAGTACCTGGGTGTGACTCTTGCCCCTCCCCCCCCTCGTAGTACCTGGGTGTGACTCTTGCCCCTCCCCTCCTCGTAGTACCTGGGTGTGACTCTTGCCCTCCCCCCCTCGTAGTACCTGGGTGTGACTCTTGCCCCTCCCCTCCTCGTAGTACCTGGATGTGACTCTTGCCCCTCCCCCTCTCGTAGTACCTGAACATGTTACGGAGCTGCGAAGGCTACAATGAGATCATTTTCCCGCACTGCTCCTGCGACTCCCGCCGGAAGGGCCACGTCATCACCGCCATCAGCATCAAGCACTTCAAACTCCTCGCCTGTACGGAGGAGGGGCAGCAGGAGGTGAGGTGTGGGGGCAGGGCGGGGGGGGGAGGGGGGAGGAACAGGTGGGGCGTCCCTCAGGTGACCTGTCCCGCCTACATTACAGAACCAGGTGATCGCCTTTGAGTGGGACGAGATGCAGCGGTGGGACACGGACGAGGAGGGGATGGCGTTCTGCTTCGAGTACGCCCGGGGGGAGAAGAAGCCTCGATGGGTGAAAATCTTCACTCCATATGTAAGTATACCGCAGGGGAGGGGAGAGGAAAGGGCTAGATGATGCTGACGTCCTCCAGCCAGGAAATGAGGCAGTTGCTAATGAATGAAAGGGGCGGGGCCAGAGGGGCAGTCAAACTGGGGAGGAAAGCCTTAGATGATGCTGGACGTCCTCCAGTCAGGAAATGGGGCGGAGCTCTATCTGACTGGCTTCAGCTTCTAATGCACATTGTGAGAAGCTCCCAGTGTGCAGTGACATCAGATGAAGCCGATGCAGGACTGGAGGGGAGGGGGGCGGCACGCCTGTGCAGGACTGGAGGGGAGGGGGGGCGGGACGCCTGTGCAGGACTGGAGGGGAGGGGGGGGCGGGACGCCTGTGCAGGGCTGGAGGGGAGGGGGGGGCGGGACGCCTGTGCAGGGCTGGAGGGGGAGGGGGGGCGGGACGCCTGTGCAGGGCTGGAGGGGAGGGGGGCGGGACGCCTGTGCAGGGCTGGAGGGGAGGGGGGCGGGACGCCTGTGCAGGGCTGGAGGGGAGGGGGGGCGGGACGCCTGTGCAGGGCTGGAGGGGAGGGGGGGCGGGACGCCTGTGCAGGGCTGGAGGGGAGGGGGGCGGGACGCCTGTGCAGGGCTGGAGGGGAGGGGGGGCGGGACGCCTGTGCAGGGCTGGAGGGGAGGGGGGCGGGACGCCTGTGCAGGACTGGAGGGGAGGGGGGGCGGGACGCCTGTGCAGGGCTGGAGGGGAGGGGGGGCGGGACGCCTGTGCTGGACTGGAGGGGGGGCGGGACGCCTGTGCAAAGACTAGACTGGAGGGAAAGCTTTAGGCTGGGGGCCAGGAAAATGGGGCGGAGCTCTCTGCTGACTGACTGCAGCTTCTAATGCACATTGTGAGAAGCTCCCAGTGTGCAGTGACATCAGAGGAAGCCGATTCAGGATTCAGACGCCTGTGCAGGACTGGAGGGGAGGGGGGCGGGACGCCTGTGCCAAGACTAGAGGAGGGAGGATCTGTTAGGTGGGAGGGGGGAGTAGGCCACGCCCACACTTCCTGCCCATCCTGACCCTTGTCTCCTGTGTCTTGCAGTATAATTACATGCACGAATGCTTTGAGCGGGTGTTCTGCGAGCTGAAGTGGAGGAGAGAGGTAATTCCATTGTGAGATGTGATCAGTCCTGCGCCTGTCCCCCAACATCCTGACCTGTCCTAGAAATCCCGACCTTACCCGTCCCGCCCCTGGGGATCCCGACCTGACTTGACCCGCCCCTGGGGATCCCGACCTGACTTGACCCGCCCCTGGGGATCCCGACCTGACTTGACCCGCCCCTGGGGATCCCGACCTGACTTGACCCGCCCCTGGGGATCCCGACCTGACTTGACCCGCCCCGGGGATCCCGACTTGTCCCCCGAAATCCTGACCTGTCCTCTTCTCTCTCCCGTCTCTCAGGTGGAGGAACAAGCGACAGATAAAGACAACAAGAACTGCACTCATGACAGTACGTGCAGCAAGGTAACCTGTCACCCCGGCGGGGCCGCCATCGTCACCCCCCCCCCCCCTCACAGATCACCCTCTTATCATCCCGGCTGTGGTTGGTGGGGGGGGGGGGGGCTCTCTCCCTGCCTCCTCACCCCATCACGGGTCGTCCTCCCATCTCAATCGTCCGCTCACGTAAGGCGAGGTCACCTCCGGTTGTAGAGGGCTCCGGTCATTCCCCTTCCCTCCAGTAGGGGGGGTTGTCCCGGCTTCTGTGCCTCCCCCCTCCGAAGTCTCCAACTCAGAATGTGAACGCCGCTCTGCCTACCTACTGGGGGAAATGCTGCCCCAGGCGTCCTTTCAGTGCTGGTCCAGGTGTGTGGACAATCCTGATCAAGCTGTGATCCCTCTAAGTGACTTGGAAGGACTGAAGGGAGCCTGGAGCAGCACTTCCCTCAGGAAAGGTTCAGTTCCAGCCTTTTGTCCTCTCAGCCATCCCATAGTGACAGTCACCCCGAGTTCACACGTGTGCGGTACGTCGCGTGATTCTCATAGAAACCGCACCGCATTGCCTGCCGATCACATGCCGCGCTCTAATCGCACCAGAAAGGCGCAGGATCCTTTTTCGGGTCCGCACTAGAATCGGATCACACGGGTATTCACACCTCTGGGATCCGATTCTGCACATCGCATCTCATTTTGCGGACCGCTCTCGGGGTGTTAACATACACACTCGCCGCGGTTCGCAGGAATGGGGTGCGATTCTGATGCGGCGCGGTATTCCGTGCCGCATCAGTGTGAACCCGGGCTGTCTTCATGGAGTGCGGTTCCAATGTAACATGAATGGAAGGAGGGGCAGGCTGTGCTGTCCCCGCCCACATCATTACAGCCGCCATGACAGTCACCTGGGGAAGCTGAGGCCATTGGGGATGCCCATTTATGCTGGAAGTGGGGGGAGGGGAGTGGTAATAATTAACTCCTTGACGCCGACGTCGCACAAATACGCGGCCTCGCGGAAACCGGGCTTTTTCTGTGGGGCCGCGTATTTGCGTACCGGTCTTTCTACTGGGAGAGCGCCGTACAGCGCCCCGGGTCCTGATCGTTGGAACTCCTGATTTCCGGGTCACATGATTGCTGTGATAGCCTCTGATTGGCTATCACAGTGATCAGTCACTGTGCAGCCCTTTTTTTTTTTTTTTTATGAATGGATGAATGGAGGGATGCATTGCATCTCTCTAACTCCCGGCATAGAGGGGGAAAAAATGTTTGTAAAGAAAAGATAAATATTAAAAATAAAAGAAAAAAATACCTAGATCAAGGTTTGATCTGGTTCAGTGCCAGGGTTAGTGTTTGGTTCTAGGTCAAAGGTCAGGATTAAAAACAAAAAAAAAAAATTGTGTGTGTTTTTTAGGTTAAAAAAAAAAAATAGCGTTTTAAAATAAAGTAATATATGTGTTTTGTTATTTTATTATTGTGAGGAGATAGAGAGAGATATATATATATATATATATATATATAATATATAAATATAAATATCTCTTATCTCTCCCCACAATAATAAAATAACAAAACACACACACATATTTATTTTATTATTGTGGGTTTTTTATTATTCAATATATATATAAAAAAAACCCACACAATAATAAAATATATATATAAAAAAATAAATTATGTATACTGTATGTGATTCAGTAAGGATATTTACCCCTATAAAATATATATATATATATATATATATATATATATATATATATATATATATATATATTATATATATATTCACACACATATATTATTTTTTATTATTATGGGGGAGGGGGGGGAGTTCTACATAATATACATTTTGTGTGTAGAAGAAAACCCCATATATATATATATATATTTTATAGGGGTAAATATCCTTACTGAATCACATACAGTATACAGAATGTTATGTCAGTATACATAATTTTTTTATATATATATATATATATATATACACACACACATACTTTATAGAGAAAAAAAAACACCCAAAAAGAATTAAAAAAAAAAAAAAAAAAAACCCACAATAATAAAATAAACTAATATATATATAAATGTGTGTGTCTGTGTGTTTTGTTATTTTATTATTGTGGGGATCTATATATGTATATATCTCTTATCTCTCCCCACAATAATAAAATATTTATTTTATTATTGTGGGTTTTTTTATTCAATATATATAAAAAAAAAAAAAACACAATAATAAAATAAAATATATATATGTATACTGACATAACATTCTGTACACTGTATGTGATTCAGTAAGGATATTTACCCCTATAATATATATATATAAATATATATATATATATATATATATATATATTCACACACATATATTATTTTTTATTATTATGGGGGAGGGGGGGAGTTCTACATAATATACATTTTGTGTGTAGAAAAAAAAAACCACCCATATATATATAATTGTATAGGGGTAAATATCCTTACTGAATCACATACAGTGTACAGAATGTTATGTCAGTATACATATATAATTTATTATTTATTATATATATATATATATATATATATATATATATATATATATATATATATATATATATTATTAATTTTTTTTTTTTTTTTTTATTTATTTTATTATTGCCCCAGTGTGGTTTTTTTTTTTTATATATATTGAATAAAAAAAACCACAATAATAAAATAAATATTTTATTATTGTGGGGAGAGATAAGAGATATATACATATATATCCCCACAATAATAAAATAACAAAACACACAGACACACACATTTATTTATATATATATATATATATATATATATATATATATATATATATATATATATATATATTATTGTGGGTTTTTTTTTTTTTTTTTTTTTAATTCTTTTTGGGTGTTTTTTTTTTCTCTATAAAGTATGTATGTGTGTGTATATATATATATAAAAAAATTATGTATACTGACATAACATTCTGTATACTGTATGTGATTCAGTAAGGATATTTACCCCTATACAATATATATATATGGGGTTTTTCTTCTACACACAAAATGTATATTATGTAGAACTCCCCCCCCTCCCCCATAATAATAAAAAATAATATATGTGTGTGAATATATATATATATATATATATATATATATATATTATAGGGGTAAATATCCTTACTGAATCACATACAGTGTACAGAATGTTCTGTCAGTATACATATATAATTTATTTTTTGGGGTGGGTCTCTAGCTGTCCATTTATAATCTATCTACATCCACAATAATACAATAAAAAAAATTATATATATATATTTTTGTATTTTATTGAATTGTTAGTTTACGGCCCGGCATCTTGTTGAATTTTTTTTGGTGTGTGTGTGTGTTTTGTCTGCTTGCCGTCTTCCTCACCGCGGCGTGCTCCAGAAGCCCCTCGCTGTCGTTGTGTTCCTCTGCGGACCCTCCTGTGTCGGTCAGTAACTGTCCCTCTCTTGTCTCTCCCACAGAACATCTTTCAGATTGTTCGATTGCAGCACAAGGACACTAGCACCTAGCAGCCGTGTGCCGGCCTCCCTGGATCAGAACCTGCCGCGCACCCCCCCTCCCCCCTCCCCCATCCTCGCTCGGCGGACCCCCCCTGGTCACTGCTCGGCAGCATTTCATCGTCATGAAGAATAGACTGAATTTGTTTAACCTCCTCCGGCGCAGGACTACAGCTCAGTACAGCATGGCGGGAGCGGGGGGGAGGGGGGTGTATGTCACCGCAAGCCCTACACTTCTGGCAAGGATCCGTGATATTTTTTTTTTTATTTTTTTTTTTATTTTTTTCAGCATCATGGAAACCTGAGCAACCCCAATCTGATACCTCCGGCCCTTCAGTTGCATTGTAGTGCAGGCTCCTCCCCCTCCCCTACCACCACCTTTCGGTCCTGCAACCTACCCTGCATGTGTATTAACTCCACCCCTTCCCCTCCCCCATACCCTAACACTAAACCCAACATTCTGCACTCTAACCTCAGAACTTAGCTTGTCACTGGACTCGGTTCCGACACCCAGCGGCTGGTGCCAAGTCACTACGGGCGTTGCTGTCACCAATTTTTAGGGCTTTTTCAGGACCATCTTTTCTACCATCACCTGTACATACTTCACAGTTCTCTACACATTTCATAGTGGAAAAACCTCCCCGCTCGTCTGCCTGCCCCTCCACCACACCTCATCGTTGGGGGTCCCACGATCCTTCCCGGGTAAGGGTGTCACTGGGTTTTGTAGGAGGTTTTTGCCTTTTTTTCGTTGGACACCCTGACTGTAGGGTCTAATGGGACTAGTGGTTGGGTATCTGTTGCCCTCTAATCTGTAGGGGGGTGTTCCTCTGGAAGGGGCTCAGTCCTGTTTTTTTTTTTTTTTTTTTTTTTTTTCTGATCACGTCAAGTGCTATTTTTTTTTTTTTTTAATCTTTATTGCTACTGTCCGTATTGTGCCAAACAGTATTAACTGGATCCTGAGAGATGGGGTCTGGATCATAGCAATTTGGGACTGTTGAGATTCCATTATTCCCACTACTGTTCCAGAAAAGGGGTTCTGCTGTTGGCTTCTTCAGTCATCTGCCACGATCGGCCAGTAAAGTGGGACCAGGGTGTGGCAGGGTGGGGCCCCGGTCATCTCTTCCCTATTGGGGCTTGAACTTTTTTAATATTATTAGAAGGTCTGAAAGCTAACTGAGCAGCACCGAGCTTTTATGGATATGTATGACTCTCTGACTGCCCTGTGTGAACCGAATGTTGTGTGACTCTGACCAGCGTGGGTGAACGGAGCGGCTCGTGCTCCTCCCTGACCGGCGTGGGTGAACGGAAGGGCTCGTGCCCCTCTCTGACCGGCGTGGGTGAATGGAAGGGCTCGTGCCCCTCTCTGACCTGCGTGGGTGAATGGAAGGGCTCGTGCCCCTCTCTGACCGGCGTGGGTGAACGGAAGGGCTCGTGCCCCTCTCTGACCGGCGTGGGTGAACGGAAGGGCTCGTGCCCCTCTCTGACCGGCGTGGGTGAACGGAAGGGCTCGTGCCCCTCTCTGACCGGCGTGGGTGAACGGAAGGGCTCGTGCCCCTCTCTGACCGGCGTGGGTGAACGGAAGGGCTCGTGCCCCTCTCTGACCGGCGTGGGTGAACGGAAGGGCTCGTGCCCCCTCTCTGACCGGCGTGGGTGAACGGAAGGGCTCGTGCCCCTCTCTGACCGGCGTGGGTGAACGGAAGGGCTCGTGCCCCTCTCTGACCGGCGTGGGTGAACGGAAGGGCTCGTGCCCCTCTCTGACCGGCGTGGGTGAACGGAAGTGCTCGTGCCCCTCTCTGACCGGCGTGGGTGAACGGAAGGGCTCGTGCCCCTCTCTGACCGGCGTGGGTGAACGGAAGGGCTCGTGCCCCTCTCTGACCGGCGTGGGTGAACGGAAGGGCTCGTGCCCCTCTCTGACCGGCGTGGGTGAACGGAAGGGCTCGTGCCCCTCTCTGACCGGCGTGGGTGAACGGAAGGGCTCGTGCCCCTCTCTGACCGGCGTGGGTGAACGGAAGGGCTCGTGCCCCTCTCTGACCGGCGTGGGTGAACGGAAGGGCTCGTGCCCCTCTCTGACCGGCGTGGGTGAACGGAAGGGCTCGTGCCCCTCTCTGACCGGCGTGGGTGAACGGAAGGGCTCGTGCCCCTCTCTGACCGGCGTGGGTGAACGGAAGGGCTCGTGCCCCTCTCTGACCGGCGTGGGTGAACGGAAGGGCTCGTGCCCCTCTCTGACCGGCGTGGGTGAACGGAAGGGCTCGTGCCCCTCTCTGACCGGCGTGGGTGAACGGAAGGGCTCGTGCCCCTCTCTGACCGGCTTGCGTGCGCGGCTCGTGCCCCTCTCTGACCGGCTTGCGTGCGCGGCTCGTGCCCCTCTCTGACCGGCTTGCGTGCGCGGCTCGTGCCCCTCTCTGACCGGCTTGCGTGCGCGGCTCGTGCCCCTCTCTGACCGGCTTGCGTGCGCGGCTCGTGCCCCTCTCTGACTGGCTTGCGTGCGCGGCTCGTGCCCCTCTCTCACCGGCGTAGGTGAACGGAAGGGCTCGTGCCCCTCTCTGACTGGCCTGCTTGCACGGCTTGTGCCCCTCTCTGACCGGCGTAGGTGAACGGAAGGGCTCGTGCCCCTCTCTGACCGGCTTGCGTTTATGATGAAATAAACAGCAGAACAGGATTTTATGGAGGGAAAAAAAAAGTAATGGGTAGCGCCAGAGAAGACAAAATTTGGAGTGGGAGGAGCTAGATCTCTTCTTGTAATGAGTGACCGTCTTATTAAGCCGAATCGCTTTTGGCCAGGCTGCTCCACTGTGCTCCTCCTACTAGAGGAGGGGTGTCAATAGAAAGATCTGGAGATGTAAAATGTAGCAGAGATGGGAGGAGCCCAGTAGGATCATTTTATTAAATGAACAATATTAAAAAAAAAAAAAATTTTGGTGGTCCACTCTCCCTTCATCAGGGCTTTGCTCTACTGCAATTGCAGCAACGCCTGGGCTGAGAGTGGTTTGGAAATATGTACACATCTCGTAGGAAAGCTTCACACCGCTACTAGTAAAGCCGAGGGATCTTTTTATTGAACGATCAAAAATAGAAGAGCCAACGCATTTTAGAGGCTCACTCTCCCTTCATCAGGGCCTCGCTATACTGTGACTTCAGCAATGCCTGGACTGAGAGCGTTTTGAAAATCTCACCAGACAAGAGGCGTCCTGTATCTCCCTGTAGAATCGCTCCAGCTGTGTCGATCCAGTGAGAGGTGACTCGTCTGGATCCTGCTGGATCTCATTTGCTAGCGATGGAAGCAATATTTTGCCGCTTCTGGGAGCGCTTACACAGGTAGCCTCTTGTCTGGTGATCTCGGCAGTATCAGATATTAGTCTGACATCCCATGAGGTCTGTAAATGTTTGCAAACGACTTTTTAAGTCCAGGCACAGCGAAGCTCTGATGAAGGGAGAGTGAGCCTCCGAAATGAGTTGGTTCTTTTTTGTATTTTTGATCACAAAAACCAACATGTTTCAGAAGCTCATCCTCCCTTCATCAGGGCTTCAGTGTAGGGTGAGCCTCCAAAAAGCTTTGAGTCTTTGATCAAAAAATATTAAGGGTCCCACGTTTCGAAGGCTTACTCTCCCCTCATCAGGGCTTCAGCCTAGTGAGCCTCTGAAACGCGTAGGTTCTTTGAAAAATATAAAAGCCAACGTGTTTCAGAGGATCACCCTCCCTTCATCAGGGCTTCAGTGTAGAGTGAGCCTCCAAAGGGCGATGCTTTGATCTAAAATATAAATGAACGAACATTTTGGAGGCTTGCACTTTCTTTAAAGAAGCTCACTACACTAGAGCTCTGATAAAGTGTTGGTTCTTTGATCAAAAAATATAAATAAGCCAACGTGTTTTGGAGGCTCACCCTCCATCAGAGCTCCAGTTTAGTGAGCCTCCGAAAGCGGTTGGCTCTTTTGATCAAAAATATTCATGAACCAACACATTTTGGAGGCTTACTCTGCCTTCATCAGGGCTTCACTGTAGAGTGTTCCTCCAAAGGGCATTGATTCTTTGATCAAAAAATATAAATGAACCAACGTGTTTTGGAGGCTCGCCCTCCATCAGAGCTCCAGTGTAGTGAGTCTTCGAAAGCTGTTGGCTCTTTGATCAAAAACCTACATGAACCAACACATTTCGGAGGCTTACTCTGCCTTCATCAGGGCTGCAGTGTAGTGGACCTCCGAAACCTGTTGGTTCTTTGAAAAAACGATGGTTTTTATATTTTTGATCAGAGGCTCACTCTCCCTTCATCAGGGTTTCAGTGTAAAGTGACTTCAGCAATGCCTGGACTTTGAGTGGTACGCTCTTGCTGCACTACCTGCTAATACTAACATCTCGTGTGAGATTTCTAACCTTTTCTGAACTGCTATGAGCCCAGGCCTTGCTGCAGTTGCATTATATCTAAGCCCTGATGAAGGGAGTGTGAACCCCTGAAGTGCTTGCTGCACTACCTGCTACTACTAACCTCTCATGTGAGATCTCTAAATATTTCTGAAGTGCTGTGAGTCCAGGACTTGCTGCAGTTGCATTATATCTAAGCCCTGATGAAGGGAATGTGAAGCTCTTGCTGCACTACCTACTAGTACTAACCTCTCGTGAGATTTCTGAACTGCTGTGAGCCCAGGCCTTGCTGCAGTTGCATCATATCTAAACCCTGATGCAGGGAGTGTGAACTCCTGAAGCTCTTGCTGCACTACTTGCTAATACTAACCTCTCATGTGAGATCTCTAAATATTTCTGAAGTGCTGTGAGTCCAGGACTTGCTGCAGTTGCATTATATCTAAGCCCTGATAAAGGGCGAAGCTCTTTCAGCACTACCTGCTAATTCTAACCTCTCATGCCGCAGGCCTGTGAGATCTCTAAATATTTCTGAAGTGCTATGAGCCCAGGCCTTGCTGCAGTTGCATTATATCTAAGCCCTGATGAAGGGAGTGCGAAGCTTTCTGCATTACCTGCTAATTCTAACCTCTCATGTGAGATCTCTAAATATTTCTAAACTGCTATGAGCCCAGGCCTTGCTGCAGTTGCATTATATCTAAGCCCTGATGAAGTGTGAACCCCTGAAACGCACTATTAGATTATTGATCATTCAATAAAACCGCCTTCTGATTGCCTGAGCTTTAGCAGCAGCATGAAGCTTTTGTTGCACGATCTGCTAATACGAACCTTCTGCTGTGAGTTTTATAAATATTTTCAAACTGCTCCAACCCCAGGCATTGCTGAAGTTGCATTATGCTAAAGCCCTGATGAAGGGAGTGTGAACCCCCCTGAAATGCGCTGTTAGATTTTTGATCATTCAATAAAACAGCCTTCCGATTGCCTCTCTGACATTAGCTTTAGTAGCAGCATGAATACTAACCCTCTCCTGTGAGTTTTATAAATATTTTCATGCTGCTCCAAGCCCAGGCATTGCTGAAGTTGCATTATGCTAAAGCCCTGATGAAGGGAGTATGAACCCAGAAATGAGTCAAATTTTTTTTTTTTTGTATTCCAGCCTCTATTACTATTGGTGTGTCACCCTTGCTAAATTTTACTCCTCCTAGCTCAAGGTATCATCGGTCAGGGCAGGGATCTGCTGTGACCGTCGAGTTAGGGTGCTCAGAGAGTCACGCCAGGCCTTGCTGCTGCTCAGTTTCCTGTCAGATCATTCTGCCGATACGCACTGAATAAAATCCGGGAATAAGATGACTTTGTCTTGGAATCTAGGTCTATGAAAGCCTGGGGGGGGGGGCGTGCGCACTGTCCAAGCCTTCCCACAATCAAGAAGATCTTGCCTGCAAATACACGGTCCACGTAGTAGTTCAACCACACCCCTAAAGAGTAGAAAGAAGTAAAAAAAAATAAAAATTTTTAACAGAAATGTTAACAAGATTGGGGGGGGGGGGAGGCGGAGTTCCCTTATTTTCAGGCCGGGTCCTCTAAGTAATCACAGAGCTCTGGGCTGGTCAACAATTTACCGTTTTTTGTCCGTTGAAAGGTAAAGCCGTATCGTACAAATCTGAGAAGAGTGCCTTTGTGTCCTCCATGATCCAGATCACTCTGGTCGAGGGGTAAGAAGTCGGAAGGGATTGGGATGTGTGTTGACTCCTCGGTGGGGTGGGGGAAATTTCTCATAGATCCTGGCTCTGCTCCTGCACACCTGGGATTTGAGTGGTGGGAGTCCCTCATAATGGGCACAGCAGGTGTACAACCTCGGTACTTGGTGTAGGGATGGGAACCACTCATAGTAACCCAGGTTCTCAGTGCGGGGAAGTTGGGAACCCCTCATAATGGGCACAGCAGGTGTCTACAGACCTGGAAACTAAGCATAGGGAATGGTGTGAACCCTCCATATGGGCGCAGTGGGTGTACAGACCCGGGAACTCAGCACAGGGATGGTGGGAACCCCTCATAATGTGTACTATAGCTGTACAGACCTGGGGCTACAGTGCAGAGACTGTAGGAACCCCTCATCGTGGGCACTTTAGGTGGGCAGAGCCCGGAACTGGGTGCATGGATGTTGGGAAGCTTTCATTGTGGGCACAGAAGGTGTACAGACGTGGCAACCCCTCAATATGGGCACTGTAGGTGTACAGACCTGGGAACCTCAGCACAGGGATGGTGGGAACCCCTCATAATGGGTACCATAGGTGTACAGACCTGGGGCTACAATGTAGGACAGTAGGAACACCTCATCATGGGCACTTTTAGGGATGTAGAGCCTGGAACTTGGTGCATGGATGGTGGGAAGCCTTCATAATTGGCACAGCAGGTGTACCGACCTGGGAACTCAGCGCCACAATGGTGGGAACCCCTCATAACGGGTACCATAGGTGTACAGACCTGGGGCTACAGTGCAGGAACCCCTCATCATGGGCACTTTAGGGGGTGTAGAGCCTGGAACTTGGTGCATGGATGGTGGGAAGCCTTCATAATGGGCACAGCAGGTATACAGATCCGGGAACTCAAGTCCCCAAGAGATAGAAGGGACTATGGGTTGGTTCAGCCCTCCAGAGTCCACTAGAACCTGAACCCATCCCTTTTGGGAGGAGCGACCCCAATTTTTGAACGTTGGTTCTGGTTCCGGAAGTACTCGGGGTGGGTGCTTGGAAAAAATAAGTTCCGATTTTTATCCTTCGGCCTCCTCTCTGCCCCTGTAGGCAAAAATAATCTTCCACCGGTGACCTTCACAGACACTACAGCAATAACGCGTCGGTCACCCAACGGATGGAACTCCTGGAACCCGGCGAGGCCTGGCGCCATTATAAACCCCGCACACTCACCCCACCCCTTCACATTTCACCCTTCACATCAGTTCCTTCCCTCCCCCACTGTGTGCGTGAGGTTTTTTTTTTTTTTTTTTTTTTCCTTTTTAATTTATTTTTGGAGAGATCTAACCATTACTGGCAGTATATTTTTATTTGTTATTTTTTTTTGGCGATTTCTACGAAGTGAAGAAGTTTGGAAAGAGGGGGCTCTCCACTCACCAGTGTTTTAACGTCATCTTCCAGAGCTAACCACTCTAATATTGTTCAGTAAAAGTCACCTTTTAGTGTAATTAATTGTAACATATTCTTTTAAATAAATCGATTTATTGACGAGACCGCCGCCGCCTGAAGTCAGTCATTTGCTGGTGGAGCCCAAATATTCGACGGAGTGTCTGCGAGGCTGGGGATCATACAACAACCTTTTCGTATCATGGAGGAACCCTTGAAATATCTTCCTGATCTTACGGAATCCTACTGAATTTACTACATCTCCAGACCTTCGTAGGCCTTTGTCAACCCATCCACCATTCTAACTAAGGGGGATGGAGCACCTATCTGAGGCTGGGGTAACAGTCCACCAACCTCTCCTAACTGGTTTGTATCATGGAGGAACCATTGAAATAAACTGATCCCATGGAACCCTACTGCATTTACTATATCTCCAGACCTTGGTAGGCCTTTGTCAACCCATTCATTGTTCTAACGAGGGGTGGGACACCTATCTGTCTCTGAGGCTGGGGTAACAGTCCACCAACCTTTCCTAACCGTTTTGTATCATGGAGGAACCCTTGAAATAACCTGATCCCATGGAACACCTAAACTGGAAGGCACCTAACAGTCCACCAACCTTTCCTAACCGTTTTTGTATCATGGAGGAACCCTGAAATAACCTGATCCCATGGAACACCTAACTGTCTCTGAGGCTGGGGTAACAGTCCACCAACCTTTCCTGTTTTGTATCACGGAGGAACCCTTGAAATATCTTTCTGATCTTATGGAACCCTACTGAATTTACTATATCTCCAGACCCTGGTAGGTCTTTGTCAACCCATCCATCATTCTAATGAGGGGGGGGTGGAGCCCCTATCTGAGGCTGGGGTAACTGTCCACCAACCTTTCCTAACTGTTTTGTATAATGGAGGAACCATTGAAATAAACTGATCCCATGGAACCCTACTGAATTTACTATATCTCCAGACCTTGGTAGGCCTCTGTCAACCCATCCATCATTCTAATTGGGGGGGGGGGGTGGAGCACCTATCTGAGGCTGGGGTAACAGTCCACCAACCTTTCCTAACTGTTTTGTATCATGGAGGAACCCTTGAAATAACCTGATCCCATGGAACACCTATCCTGTCTCTGAGGCTGGGGTAACAGTAAACCTCCTAACTGTTTTGTATCATGGAGGAACCCTTGAAATAAACATCCCATGGAACCCTACTGAATTTACTATATCTCCAGACCTTGGTAGGCCTTTGTCAACCCATCCATCATTCTATGGAGGGGTGGTGGTGAATGGAACACCTATCTGTATTTAAGGCTGGGGTAACAGTCCACCAACCTTTCCTGTTTTGTATCATGGAGGAACCCTTGCAATATCTTTCTATCTTATGAAACCCTACTGAATTTACTATATCTCTAGACCTTGGTAGGCCTTTGTCAACCCATCCATCATTCTAACAAGGGGTAAGGGGGGGGGGGGGGTGGATGGAACACCTATCTGTCTCTGAGGCTGGGGTAACCATACACCAACCTTTCCTAACTGTTATATATCATGGAGGAACCCTTGAAATAACCTGATTCCATGGAACCCTACTGAATTAACTGTATCTTCAGACCTTGGTAGGTCTTTGTCAACCCATCCATCATTCTAATGAGAGGTGGGACACCTATCTGTCTCTGAGGCTGGGGTAACAGTCCACCAAGCTTTCCTAACCGGTTTGTATCATGGCGGAACCCTTGAAATAACCTGAGCCCATGGCACCCTACTAAATTTACTACAGTGGGGATCGAAAGTTTGGGCACCCCAGCTAAAAATTTGTATTAATGTGCATAGAGAAGCCAAGGAAAGATGGAAAAATCTCCAAAAGGCATCAAATTACAGATTAGACATTCTTATAATATGTCAACAAAAGTTAGATTTTATTTCCATCATTTACACTTTCAAAATAACAGAAAACCAAAAAATGTTGTCTGCAAAAGTTTGGGCACCCTGCAGAGTTAATATCTTGTACTGCCCCCTTTGGCAAGTATCACGGCTTGTAAACGCTTTTTGTAGCCAGCCAAGAGTCTTTCAATTCTTGTTTGAGGTATCTTTGCCCATTCTTCCTTACAAAAGTCTTCCAGTTCTTTGAGATTTCTGGGCTGTCTGTCACGCACTGCTCTTTTAAGGTCTATCCATAGATTTTCAATGATGTTGAGGTCAGGAGATTGTGAAGGCCATGGCAAAACCTTCAGTTTACTCCTCTTGATGTAATCCCCCGTGGATTTCGAGGTGTGTTTAGGATCATTATCCATTTTTAGAAGCCATCCTCTCTTTAACTTCAGCTTTTTCACAGATGGCATCAAGTTACCATCCAAAATTTGCTGAAATTTTATTGAATCCATTTTTCCTTCTACTCGCGAGATGTTCCCTGTGCCACTGGCTGCAACACAACCCCAAAACATGATTGATCCAACCCCATGCTTAACAGTTGGACAGAGGTTCTTTTCATTAAATTCTGTGCCCCTTCTTCTCCAAACGTACCTTTGCTCATTCCAGGCCAAAAAGTTCAATTTTAACCTCATCGGTCCACAGAACTTGTTTCCAAACTGCATCAGGCTTGTCTATATGTTCATTTGCAAAGTTCAAACGATGATTTTTGTGGTGAGGACGTAGAAGAGGTTTTCTTCTGATGACTCTTCCATGAAGACCATATTTGTACAAGTATCTCTTTATAGTGGAATAGTGACCACAACTCCAGTGTCTGCCAGATCTTTCTGGAGGGATCGTGCAGTCAAACGTGGGTTTTGAATTGTTTTTCTCACAATCCTGCGAGCTGTTCTGTCTGATATTTTTCTTGGTCTTCCAGATCTTGCTTTAACTTCCACTGTTCCTGATGACTGCCATTTCTTAATTACATTCCGAACAGAGGATATTGACATCTGAAAACGCTTTGCTATATTCTTATAGCCTTCTCCAGCTTTGTGAGCGGCAACTATTTTCAGTTCAGTTTTCTAGACAACTGCTTAGAAGAACCCATGGTGCTGATTGTTGGGGCAAGGTCAGATGAGTCGGGGCATTTAAAACCTTTGAGATTGACATCACCTGGTCTTCCCAGACGATGATTGAGAACAATCCATGACACTGGCAGGTCTCAGCTTGGCAAAGGGGGCAGTGCATGCTATAAATTCTGCAGGGGGCCCAAACTTTTGCAGACGCCATTTTTTTTGTTTTCTGTTATTTTGAAAGTGTAAATGATGGAAATAAAATCTAAGTTTTGTTGACATATTATAAGAATGTCTAATCTGTAATTTGATACCTTTTTGGAGATTTTTCCATCTTTCCTTGGCTTCTTTATGCACATTAATACAATTTTTTTAGCTGGGGTGCCCAAACTTTCGATCCCCACTGTATATCTCCAGACCTTAGTAGGCCTTTGTCAACTCATCCATCATTCTAACAAGGGGTGGATGGAACACCTATCTGTCTCTGAGGCTGGGGTTTCAGTCCACCAACCTTTCCTAACCGTTTTGTATCAAGGAGGAACCCTCGAAATAACCTGATCCCTTGGAATCCTACTGAATTTACTATATCTCCAGATCTTAGTAGGCCTCTGTCAACCCATCCATCATTCTAATGAGGGGTGATGGTGAATGGAACACTTATCTGTCTCTAAGGCTGGGGTAACAGTACACCAACCTTTCCTGTTTTGTATCATGGAGGAACCCTTGAAATAACTTTCTGGTCTCATAGAACCCTACTGAATTTACTATATCTCCAAACCTTGGTAGGCATCTGTCAACCCATCCATCATTCAAAGGAGGATTGGTGGGTGGTGGTGGATGGAACATCTGCCGGTCTCTGAGGCTGGGGTAACACTACACCAGCCTTTCCCAACCAATTTGTATCATGAAGGAACCCTTGAAATAACTTCCTGATCTTCTGGAACCCTGCTGAATTGACTCCAGACTTCGGTAAATCTCTGTCTGCATATCCATCATTCT